ACAACACTCCCGCTAATACATCCCAGAATGATGTTTGCTTTTTTTGCAACAGTGTTACACTATTGACTCATAGTTTGTTGTGTGATCCACTATGACCCCCTGAGCTCTTTCTGCAGTACTCCTTCCTAGGCAGTCACTTCCCATTTTCTGTGTGTGCAACTGATTGTTCCCTCCTAAGTAGAGTACTTTGCATTTGTCCTTATTGAATTTCATCCTATTTACTTCAGACCATTTCTCCAGTTTGTCCCGATCATTTTGTGTTTTAATCCTATCCTCCAAAGCACTTGCAATCCTTCCCAGCTTGGTATCATCCACAAGCTTTATAAGTGTATTCTCTACACCATTATCTAAATCATTGATGAAGATACTGAACAGAACCGGACCCAAAACTGATCCTAGTGGGACCCCACTTGATATGTCCTTCCACCTTGACTGTGAACCACTGATGATACTATCTGGGAACCGTTTTCCAACCAGTTATACACCCACCCTGTAGTAGCTCCACCTAGGTTATATTTCCCAAATTTGTTTATGAGAAGGTCATGAGAGACAATATCAAAATCCTTACTAAAGTCAAAATATACTACATCTACCGCTTCCCCCCCCCCCATCCACAAGGCTTGTTACTCTGCCAAAGAAAGGTATTGGGATCATTTTACATGATTTTTCCTTCACAAATCCATGCTGTTACTTATCACCTTATTATCTTCTAGATATCTGCAAATTGATTGCTTAATTATTTCCTCCATTATCTTTCCAGGTACTGAAGTTAAGATGACTGGTCTGTAATTTCCCAAGGTTGTCCTTATTCCCCTTTTTATACATGGGCACTCTGTTTGCCCTTTTCCAGTCCTCTGGAATCTCACCCATCTTCCATGACTTATCACTGAGTTAAAAGTGCTCAGATACCACAGTGACCTGACATGTGTGGTATGAAAACCTATATAGAACTGAAAAGATTGGAAATGTCAAGGATAGGAAATTTCCTGTATTAAGAGAAATAAAATACGGAACAATGGTCACACATTTACTAATAGGAAAGCATAACTATAGTGGATGACATTTAAGCTTGGTCAGTTGCTGCCAAAAGAACTGTCAACTATTATAGCCTAAGTGTTTAAATTAAATTCATTTCTCACTTCATTCAAGTTCTCATGTCTAGTCCAGCTATAATCAACATTCTCTGTACTAGTGTAGCAATACTTTATTGCCATTCTTGGCCTTTAAGTCAGTCATCTTCCACTCAGGAAAGTCAATTTAAAAGCACTGCTACGGTGCCATGGGTTTCATATTAAGCTTTTCATTGTGTTGTAGCTGCTCATCTCAAACTGACATTAAACACCAATCATCTCTTTGTCAATGTCACAAGCTACATAGTATCGATATGTGATTTTCAAGCAGTAGCTGCAGCAACACATTCTGAATGAAAAATGGAGAAGATAAAAGCAGTAAGAAAAGAATCCTATTTCTAACTGAACTGGGAATTATCTGGGGCCAAATCCTGTTCACTTTACTCATGCAAGTATCCACTGAACCAATATTTTTACTCCTAAGAATTTTAACAGAATTTGTCCCCTGATGTATGCGTAGATTTCAGTGACAGTGTAATGTGCTTACACCAATCTGAATACAATTCCCTCATGTTCTTCACTGCCACCAATCTTCTTCTTAACTCTCTCTGTACATCTCAGCTACCTGAATGAGTCATAATCTGGTTCTCAGTGTTTTTATTTTCTTCCTGCATTCAAATTCAAGTCACGAGCCAAATTCAGACCTAATGTGCACTCACCCTGACTTTTGGAATTGTTACCACTTACATTATTTCTGAACTTGGCCAGTCATTCTTTCTATGACTGAGGTACACTCAAGTGAAGTTGTTGGGCTCTTCCACAGATTGACTGAAGTCCTGATTAGCCAAAGTTTACTCAAGTTCCCTGAAACCTTCTAATTGTCCAGTTGCTGATTTCAAGTTTGTGAATACAAAGCCTGCTACTGGTTCCAATGATTATCCAACCCTCCAATTATCTCAAGTTCTGGGGCATCCTCAAGACGTTTTGGCAATCAGGACTGCACTTTAGCTGGTATTTGGTATGGATTAATGTGTTTGACTAATAAGAAATCAAGTGTAGTCTACATAAAGTTTTAAATACATAACTCAATTATTTCTATAACAAGTTTCTTCAACAAGTTAAAAGTACTTGCCCTCCCTCAGGACTACATGCATTCTAAGCTGAAGATTTTTAACTTCACCTGTTTTTGCGGTATCCAAGCCCAATCAAACAAAAAGATTTTGAAAACATTAGAAGTACTGTTTCCCCTATATCAGTGGTTCTCCACTAGGGGTACAGGTAGCCCTGTAGGTTACACGGGGGTCTTCTGGGGGGTACATCAACTCATCTAGATATTTGCCTAGTTTTACAACAGTATACATAAAAAGCACTATTGCAGTACAAACTAAAATTTCATACAGACAATTACATGTTTATACTGCTCTATATACTATACACTGAAATGTAAGTACAATATTTATATTCCAATTGTGTTATTTTATGATTATATGGTAAAAATGAGAAAGTAAGCCATTTTTCAGTAATAGTGTACTGTGACACTTCTGTATTTTTATGTCTGATTTTGTAAGTAAGAGAGGTGAAACTTGGGGGTATGCAAGGCATATCAGACTCCTGAAGAAAAAGTATCATATGGGGCAGTGGCTCTCAACCTAAAAACTGCCCAACTGGTATTTTACCAAACATCGCATAAAGGAAAAACCAAACAAGCTAGCTTTTTGCTGATAGTACGCAGGATAAATCTCAGACCAAATTATATTTTTATTAGCATTATAAATATCTGAGAATAAAGGTTTATACTGAAAAGTATCTCCTCAGACATAACTATAATATTTACTACTGCCACACTAAAATGAGGGGTTTTGATGTCACAGTAACAATACAGTACTTAATATATTACATCTGCAAAGGGCTTTTCAAACATTGTCAAATTGTTTAGCAGCTGAAAAATAGACAATAGACTGAAGAAATTTCTCTGGAATTTTTTCAATGCTAAATAAGAATTTCTTTCATTATTTATAAACTTGGTAAAACAAAAAGGTCTATGAAACAACAACATACTGTATTTTAAATTATGTTGTGACCATATTATTTACCCGGCATGTCATCACTAGATTCCTTTCTTTAGAGTGTCATCCAAATAATAAAAACACTTACAAAATGTATCTGAAAAACAACTTTTGAACAATCCCTGCAGGCCCTGATCCTGTATGCTTCCCCATGTGGGCTGACCCCAAGACTCTGCAAATACAAGTGATTCACCCACGTGGTACAGCTAAGTCTTAAGAGTCCAATCCTGATCCCTTTTATTTCAAGGGAAGTTTTGCTATTCACATTCATGGGAACATGAATTTACTTTCTAAATTGAATAATCTGCAAGTTATTCCCAGACATACTAATACCCCCCCCCAATACTAAAGCAAACCATATTCTAATCTTTTGGAAATTTACACCTTTAAACCAAATATACCTGAGCTCAACAATATTGATATTTTTCATCAGGGTGTGTAAGAACATTCTTTAAACATAGCCATCCAGATCCATTTTTAAAGTCTGGCTTCGGTCTGAATGGCGATTTTTCAAAAGTGGCAACATGGGATTCCTGGCTTATTGTTTCTCAATTATTTCATACAAAATCTGTTCTGTGTATATGGGGGTTGAAGTTTGGTTGGTTGTTTTAATTGCCAGCCCTACAAATTCAGCTAGGAACTTGAAGGCCAAGCTGTGTTTTTCCTGGCTCATCCATCAAGACTAATAAAGACTCCATAGGCTAAACTCTGCCTTCAGTTACTCCTGTGCAATCCCATAATCATTAGATTCTTTAAATTGCTGCACCTGAACAAGCCCGTGGTTTTCAGTAGGGCTGCCCAGGTTTAACCAGTAGGGTTGTTTTCAATGTAACCAAGGGCCAAATTTGGTCCTGCAACTGGAAGTAAGGCACCAATCCTGCAAATATCTTCCCATTTATTTAAGCACATGAGTAGTTTCATTGAAGTCCATGGTATTGGAGATTTTAATCATTCCTCTAACATGCATCAGCTAGGAAAAAATTCAGATCCCTTTTTTAGTTGGTGGGCTAAAGCTTATTTTTGTCCCTAAATTAAGTAGATACCAGTCTAAATACAAACAAGAACAGCTGTGGCATTTAAGAAGATGCCATTTTACAGGCACTTTTCAGAGCAGAAACACTGGGCTTTTTGTTTCAGAAACAAAGTTGTCTAAAACCTAATGTGTCACAATTGAGACCAGAGCAACTTTTTGTATACAAGTTATAAACCTTCAAGGCTAGTAAAAGGGGATAGGGAGATTAAAATAGAAATATTGACTCATCTATCAATAGTCATTAGTACAAAGAGAAGCCACTGAACAACGCATGAAAAGTCCTGTTCGATTTATTTCAGAGCACATTTTATACGCCTGGTGACGTGCAATCCCGATGTTTGAACTAAAGTGACGGATACATACAACAGTGCAGATCCCAGCTGAAGTACTGCGGTATAAAAGCAATCCCTTCCACCTCGCCTCTAGGATGACTTATTTTTCGATCACACACACATATATATACCACCCTAAAACGAGACTCTGGTTGTTCTAACCTTACAATGCAGCCAACACCATCGCCGGGCACAGAAACCCCAAGCATCAGTCACTGTTTAAGCGTCTCCTTGGCAACCAAGCTTCCCCACAGACCCCTCCCTGGCTGGGGGAGGGGGGAGTGCAGGACTCCACTGACAGGTTGGGGGAACTAAGAGGAGGATGATTGATTCGCGCGGGGACAGTGCAACCCTTGCAGGCGGGACTCCCTTCCATTGCAGGCTGCGGTCCTCCAGCCCTGCCCCCCCCCCCCCAGCCCCACTGCACAGCCCCGGGGGCAGTGACCCCTGATTAGGTAACAGCAGCAGGCGCCTCCTGGCGCACAAAGGGCTCGCTCACCTCCCCGGGCGACACAAAGCGGCTGCGGCTCTGCACCAGCCTCGGCCGGGTGCTGTCTCTCACGCGCCGGGCGGCCGGGAGTCTCTCCGCTGTCTCGGTGCCTTTGGGAGCCAGGCGAAGCGAAGGAACCGCACCGGCCGGGCTGCCCGCACCGCGCCAGCACAGCGGGACTGAGGGGCTGGCAGCGGCTGGGCAGGAGGAGCTTCTCCTCTGCCTCCTCCCCGCAGGCGGCGGCAGCGGCGGCCCGGGCCCCTTCCCTCAAGTGCGCAGCGGCGGCAGCACAGACCGGGCAGCACTGTACGCACCTGCAGGAGGAGGAGCTCGGCAAGGGCATCGGGAGGGCTGGCGGGCTCGCTCGCTTGCAGGGGCACGGCTGGCGGGCACCAGGCGAGCTCCTGTGCCCACCCACTGAGCAGCATCGGCCCCTGCCCTCTCCCATGCGCATCCTTCCCCCACCCCCTTCAGCTGCCTTGGCCTGGCCAGAGCTATATGCGGCGGAGAGGAAGGATAGGCTAGTGGCTCACAGGCTTCCTGGGCCAGTCCCGCCGGGTGTGTCTGCCCCCCACGTTAGGGTGTAATTGCACTGTGGGTAGGCAGCCCTCTGCTGGCTTTAAACTAACTAGCCAGACAGCAAGTGTGAAAAATTGGGACAGGGGGTGGGAGGTAATAGGAGCCTATATAGGAAAAAGCCCCAAATATCGGGACTGTCCCTATAAAATCGGGACATCTGGTCACCCTACCAGGTGACGATAGTAGTGAAGATGTGACAACGCAGGCTTCGCAGTAGGCTAGCAATGCATACCAGCAGCCCTCGGTGGGCTTGGGCTTGTATGAAGGCAGCTAGCCTGCATTGACACCCCATGCCACCATGTCTCCACTACTGTTGTTACCTGGGCTAGCTAGATTATAGTGAGTGTGGGTATGCTTATCCTCATTACAATGACACCTTAATTTGCAGCACCTCTCTGGCCCCAAGTTCCTCATCTGTAAAAGAGGGACAATACCCCCCTACCTCACAGGGGTGTTTTGATGGTAAATACATTAAAGACTGTGAGTTGCTCAAATGCTATGGTATTAGGGCTGTAGACGTACCTAAAATTGATTATTACCAAACCTGTTATGTGGCATGATAAATTTGCCTAGCACTTTAGTATCATAGCTAAAACACAATCCCTGCCCCAAGTGCTTACAGTCTAAACAACACAGACAGGGACTGACAAAATACACAATTTGAGGACAGAAAAGTGAGGGGATTATTAATGATGGAATGAAAAGATGGATCACCCATGTGAGCAGTGACCTAAAGTGATCTTAAAGGAGAGATTTCAGAGTAGCAGCCGTGTTAGTCTGTATCCGCAAAAAGAACAGGAGTACTTGTGGCACCTTAGAGACTAACAAATTTATTTGAGCATAAGCTTTCGTGGGCTACATCCCACTTCTTCGGATGCATCCAAAGAAGTGGGATGTAGCCCACAAAAGCTTATGTTCAAATAAATTTGTTAGGCTCTAAGGTGCCACAAGTACTCCTGTTCTTTTTAAAGGAGAGAGCAAATGTATCATGTATCTAACAGCCATGTTCAGACTGTCCACTGGGGTACTCTCCTTTAGAGGCCTGGCCTGACTGACTACTAAAAAAAGAATCCACTTATTGATTGTCAGGATGTGCTCACTAAAAGCCAATCATAGTTAAGAATTTATTTGAAGAGTGAAATTTTTCTATGGTTATTGGAAACTGGAAGCTAGACAGCTGGCAACGCACTGTGTTCACAGAGAGAAGGAATATATTTATTTATTTCCCACTTCCTCTCAAGAACAATAATGATTTTCTAGTTATGTCATTTACAAAGTGTATGCTTCTGCTAAAGAGATGGACAAATTATCCTTACAAATATACCTGTCAGACCTGTGTGTGTGTGTATACACACACATACAATAAGGCATATATGCCACAAATAGAGACATATTTTTTTAATGTTTTTAAAAATCTGACTGGACTTGGAGACTGGATTTTATGTAATTTCTTTCTAGCTGCAACAGAAGGCAGCATTACCAGCTGCCAAAACATGGCCCTCCTTCAGCCTTAGGATAGTGCTTGGGTGAACTCGAAACTGAGGCTGTTTTCACACATGGGAACAGGCATTTATTTTACTTTGTTTTGACAAAATAAAGGAGCAGTAAATTATAAATCTCGGCTCTGCACTTGCATAGCTATGAGGCCCATGGGACATTGAGAGGTGCCAGCTAATATTTGTACAAAAGCGGGGAGAGGGTTCTAGCCAGTTGTAGGGAGCTTTCAAAGAAGCATTTTTCCTGGTAGCCTTTTGATACAGTGGGTAGATTTTGCTGCTAGTACAGTTTTAATATCTGGGCCTCAGTACTTATGCAAGACAGAAAAGATTATTTTATATACACAAAACTAGGGATCACCAGACCTAGGTTCTGCCTCAGATTTACTGTTGCCAGTCATGTCAGCCAGAATTTTCAGATTTATGTGTCTGGTTCAAAATCCATTGAAGTTAGTACGAATCTTTCTGTTGCTTTGGATCTGGTCTTAAATAAATAAAGTTTGTGGGCCAGATCTTCAGCTGGTGTAAATGGACCCCAGTTTCCTCCAGAGATGCAGGATCTGACCCTGTGTTTGCAATGATGAGCTGCCAAAAACTTAACAACCGGTTCCCTCCTCACCCCACGAGGGGGTCATGGCCCGCCCCCACAGGATTCCTGCCCTATCCACCCCCCCACATTCCTTGACGCCCCTCCCGGGACCCCTGCCCCATCCAACCACCCCTTCTCTCTGTCCCCTGACTGCCCCTGGAACCCGTGCCCCTGACTGCCTCCCACCGCCCCATCCAACCCCTGCTCCTTCCTGACTGCCCCCCCGGGACCCTTGCCCCCATTCAATCCCCCTGTTCCCTACCCTCTGACCGCCCCGACCCCTATCCACCCCGCCCCGAACTCCCCCTGCCCTCTATCCAACACCCCCTCCCTGCTCCCTGCACCCTTACTGCACTCCCTGGAGGTGGCTGGTGGCGCTACAGCCGCGCCGCTCGAGCCGGGCCAGGCGGCTGGAGCCGGAGCTGGAGCCCGGGCCGGGCTGGGCTGGGCAGCTGGAGCCAGGCCGGCCGGGCGGCTGGGGCCATGCAGCGCCTGGAGCCAGGGGTGGGGCGGGGAGGGGGTGGGGTGGGGCGGGGAGTTCCGGAGCTTTACTGGTTGTTAAATTTAAAAGCCCTTTTAGAACTGGTTGTCCCGTGAGACAACCGGTTCTAAAAGGGCTTCTAAATTTAACAACCGGTTCCTGCGAACCAGTGAGAACCGGCTCCAGCTCACCACTGTGTGTTTGCATGTTGCTTGCTATATGAGACCATTTTACTGACTTCATTTGTCTAAGTAGTCTTCTAATAAACACCATTTCCTGTCACCTCTCTTAGCTACGTCCTTTTAATTAGGAAAATCTACACTAAATGTGAAATCCTGTCTAGTTCATTTGTAGCATGACTTTTTATTTAAAGGGAGTGCTGTAATACAAGGGGACGAGGTGTTTGTATTCTGGTTTTTTTGAGCTTGGAGGGCTACAACAAACCACTTAAAAGCCATTCTGCAAATAGAGGCTGCTAAGCATTGCAGAAACCTATGGGATCTGTAGCTGGCTCTGGTGCCAGTATATCTAAAGGAATGATCTAAGGCAGGGGTGGGCAAACTTTTTGGCCTGAGGGCCACATCTGGGTGGGGAAATTGCATGCAGGGCAGAGGCAGGGGGTTGGGGTGCAGGAGGGAGTGCAGGGTGTGAGAGGGGGTGCGGTGTGCAGGAAGGGGCTCAGGGCAAGGGGTTGGGGCAGAGGTGGGGTGCAGGGTGTATGAGGGAGCTCAGGGAAGAGGGTTGGAGTGCAGGAAGGGTGCGGAGTACAGGAGGGGGCTCAGGGCAGGGGTACAGGGAGAGGTGTGGGGTGCGGCAGGAGGCTCAGGGAAGGGAGTTGGGGTGCAGAAAGGATGCGGCAGGGGGCTCAGGGCAGGGAGTTGGGGTGTAGGGTGCAGGAGGGATTCAGGCTCCAGCCCGGTGCTGCTTACTTGGAGCAGCTCCAGGGTGGCAACGGCCTGCCCTGGTCCCAGCCCGGCCCCGTGCCGCTCCGGGAAGCAGCCGGCACCACATCCCTGCCGCTCCTGGGAGATGGGGGGCAGAGGGCTCCGCGTGCTGCACTTGCTTGCGGGTACTTCTCCCGAAGCTCCCATTGGCCGTGGGGTTCCCCATTCCCGGCCAATGGGAGCTGTGAGAGCGGTGCCTGGAGGCGAGGACAGCATACAGAGCTCTCTGCCCCCCCCATCAGGGGCCGCAGGGACTTGGTGCCATCCGCTTCCAGCAGTGGCATGGGGCCCGCAGCGCCATGGGGGTGGCAATCCCATGGGCCGGATCCATCATAGCAACTGTGTGTGCAGTTTCGGGTCTTCATGGCACTCGTGCACCGGCGAAGAACACCATTCGTTCCCAGAGTGGAAAGAAAAGAAGAAGACACGTTACCATCTTACCTGCCCTGCACCTGGAGAATGTCACCATCCAGAGAGTTCCTGGTCCACTTCTTCTGTCCTGACATCCATCAAGGGACTCTCTAGTGTTCCTCCTCCAAGAGTTTCAATTACCTATCGAGTAGAGGTCCTGGACTTCACCACCGTCACTGAAGTGCTGGGAATTGAGTGAGAAAGCAATTAGGGTTTCTAAGTTGGGGGTCATATTTCTTGAATGCCAGGGTGGGTTTAGTTTCATTCTTGAGCCTGAGCTTCACGCTCGCAGGGAAGAGCTGCTGCGTCACTGGGTTTGTTTGTTATATAGCTATTAGTCATTTACATTTACCCCTTCCCTATCTGTGTAATCCTATCCCCTAATACATTTACCTGTTTGTTTTGAACCTTATCTCTTGTCAGTTATATTTATTGTGCACCACACAAGGGGAGAGGGGTGGAGATCTGCACCAGTCCACCGGTGACAGATACGGCGGTGGGCGAACCTAATCTTTTGAGAAAAAGGGGCCTGTTTCTATTCCGATACCTACACCACTTTACACATTCAGAGTTATCTTGGCTCCCCTTTGAGATAACAACCCCTGTGAGGTAGTAAAGTGCTATTACCCATTTTACAGATGGGAGCTGTAGCATAGAAAGACTAGGTTACTGGCTCCAGATCACACAGGAACCCTCTGGTAGTGTAGAAAATTGAACTTGAGTCTTTCAAGTCCCAGCCTAGCATCCTAACAACTGAACCATCCTTCTTTCTCTATGGTAAAGCCAAATATTTAATTATGGTATACTCCTCATTCTACTGGTGATATGCTTTCCTCAGATGCAGTCATCTTTCACCTTTTTATAAGCCACTTCAATTCAGTTTTCTTCTAGCACATGTTCTTACACTCACTCTCA